CACTGCAGTGAAAAATAAATTTTTACAGTGAAAATATGGAAAATGAATATACGCATTTTTATTTCATCAATATATCTCAATATTTCATTTAAAAGTATATATATTAAAATTATTTATTATTTAGTTACTGCTTTATTATATGTTCATTAATGTATGTGTAGAAATAACAATGTCCACATTTTCAATAATGCTAGTTGAAATATAGTCTTAAATCAAATTTTGATTCCATATCAAATAATTGTTCTTTCAAAATTGGTTAAATGGTTATGCATAAATATTAAAGATTTTTTATAATAATTAAGATGAAAAAAATGTATTGATTTCATTTTCCATATTGAAATATATGATGTAAATTATAGAGGACATTGTTAAGTACAGTATATTGATTCTATTTGACAATCATTTAAAATCTTTGAATGAGCCTCTGTCGAATTGCTTGCCCTTCAGTTTGGTTGCCCTGTTGAACATAAATGTCATCATTATGATAAATATTAACAAAAGTGTTCACTTCTGTTGGAAGTTTGTCCTTCAGTGCCTGGTTGTGAAGTTTGAAACAAGCTTCTACTATCTTCAAACACTTTGTTGGAGTAAATTGAAGGCTTCCTCCAGTTTTGTGCATACATCTGAAAGATATAAATTTCATTGAAATAAATGTTTCTAAATGTTTCATATCTTTTTCTGATATATCATATGCATACAAAAAATATTTTTTTTTAACAAATCTTAATGATGATTTATTATTTATTACAATTTATGATAATGAAATGAATACATGTAGATGAAGCTACTGACTGTCAGAAATGATGCTCTGAGAGAAACACTCCCTAAGAAGTAAATGTGACTGATATAGTACCATGTTTCATTGGTGAAATTAAATAAAAGTAATTAATTCTGCAAGTGCAGTATCAAACAATTGTGCAAGAATTAATACCTGAATCTGCTTTTCAACACACCAAAAGCTCTCTCTACAGTGTTTCTTGTTTGGGTGTGGGCTAGATTGAAGTTGACCTCTTGCTGGTTACTGGGGTTTGATACTGGTGTTATAAGCCATTTCTTCAGGGGATATCCAGAGTCACCCAGTAACCAGCCATTTGTTGTTTCCATTGTATTTGGTAAGCATGAGTTGCTAAGAATGAAAGCATCATGGGTTGAGCCTGGCCATCTTACAACGATATTCGTAAACCTAGGAATATCATAAGGAAACAGAAATTATTGCAACATTATAAAGTGAAAAAGGCATTTATGTATATGTCGTCAATACTTACAGTTAGGATAAGTACAGACCCGGCAATAAATATGTGATTTAAAGAATAAGTTTATATCTGATGAGAAGAAGCACACCTCCATATATTTGATAATTGTTAAATAAACTTTAAAGCTGCATGCATCCAGATGAGCCACAATATTTCATGACAAGTTTATCTTGGAAAAATTGTACTAAAATTTTAAGAAAAGTAGACAGATTTATGATTCAAGTGATAATTTATATCTTATGTGCAATTTATGACTTTTTTTTCGCATTCATCACTATATTTCTACTGTCTTACTAACACAGTTGGGGCTATTTTTGCATAGTTTGACCTCTTTTTGGTAATTTACATGGGTTATAAGTGCCAATTGCAATGTGTTAATTACTTTCTTTGCTCATTTCACAATATTTTTTTGTTTAAATATTTTTCAAAATTTTCATGAAAAGTAGGATGAATCTGGAAACGTGCTGCTTTAAACAAACACAACAAAAACAAAGAACATTCCAATGTGTAAAAATGTTGCAAATTGTAAAGATTGAATTACTTAAACTTTTAACTTAGATTGCACATTTCTTTTTTTAATATCCACATAATTTAATCAACTTGTGATTTTTTTTCTGATATTACTTTTACTCCATTAAAATGAGGTATAATATTGATGAAAAAATTTCAAGTTAATTTAACTGTTATATTGTGCATACTTTACCCACAGTTTTAACTGGATTGTGAACATCTACATATTTTTAAATCATGAGTAGGTTTTTCTTTAGACACAATTTAATAATCGTAAGGTTTGCCACGTTAAAATATACTAGTAGTGAATTGCTTTACCTCAGTTCTGAATCACATACTGCTTGTATGTTAAGTGCATGAAAGCCCTTCCTGCAAACAAAAGTGGGTTCTTCAATTCCAGCCATCCCCTGGATTGGTATCAGGGTTCCATCAATGGCACCAACAACATTGGGGAATCCAGCAATTTTGTGAAATCCATCTTTGACTTTGTTGATTTCATTGGTGGTTGGGAAGTTTATGTTGTTCAACACTTCACAGATGGCCACACTCACTGAAGAGATTATCCTGGATGCTGATGACATTGATATACCATGTACATCAGCTACTTCTGATAAATATTCACCCTTCGCAAAGAAACGTAATGCTGTCATCACCTTTAAATAAAAAGGGATATATTATTGCTTAAGTTAAAAATAAAAATGTTTAATAAGCTGAGCTTGAACCATATTGATTTGTTGTTATTAGACAGGTGCTTAATAATAAGAAAACTCTTCCCTGATTAAAAATGGGTATGCATTTGCTGTGTATATAATGGAAACCTACTTAAGACTATCCCAGAATTAAGACCACCCTTCTATTAAGGCAAAAATGTAAAATAATGTAATTTTCAGTTCTTTATGTCAATGGTCACATGATCTACATAGAAGACAACCCTGTTTATCCACTATTAAAATTAAGACCACCTGTTCCTGTTCCAATTCTTTGTTTTATATGATTTTTATTTTATTTCTTTATGATATTTAAGTCAACACCTATCTATATTACTAGTGTATTGTTATTATCTACATGGATGCTCTTTTACATGACAGTTGATGTAAAAAGATAACAAAACTGTTTAGATTAGGATATTGTATATAATAAGTTGAGAAAATAAGTTTTAGAGTGGTTTGATGTTGCTTTCTGCACATTTATTCTTATTTGATAGGTCAATTATTTTAATCTTGTAATACTAAAACCAGACCAATCAGAATTTAATATCAAATATTAAATTTCTTCTGAAATAATTTGCTCTCATCACATTAAATGTTATAAAAATATTTCCATAGTAGTATTTGAAGGTTAAGATTCATATTGTTTGTTCCAACAAAATAACTAAAATAAAACATGGTCATATGGTAAGTAAGCAATGATAAGAATATCCACAATTAAGACCACCCTGTTACTAAGATCACCTTGGTCCAGTTCTAATGGTTGCCATAATAGTTGGTTTTTACTGTGTAATAGTTTTGTAGTTTGATATTTTTAATATATGAAGGTAAATAATAACTTTGACTATAATTGTTGAAAGTTTGCACATAAAGGCAAATAATAATTAACATTTAATTTTCAAATTAACCATAGTTTTGATATTATATTGTTTTTGTTATTGTTAAAACAGAATATTATGAAATTCTGATGATTTGTTAAAAATTTGGTGTTTTTCTTTTAAATTATTTTGTGAGTTAAATATAGACTCGTAGCTATTTGCATCAGTTTACATTATATATTTGATAATATCATATTGAGATTGAGATAAATTAAACAGTGTGAATGTTTGTGAATTAAACTAAGTCCTATTAAAAATTAAATGTCATCAATCTGATTCGTTTTGTTATTACTGCTGCTAACATAAACCCTCGAATGGTACCCATTCTGTTGTAGTCACCCCGCAAACTTATCTGGTTACAACTGAATGTGAATTATACAGCAGAATATAAATAACCATACTATTAGGTATATCACTATAATTATATTTAAGGTGTAAGGAATTTAAGCACTGAATCTATGCTGAAATGTGACAGAAACTTGGACAGAAATGCAAATTCCATTTCATTTCCTCTTACATTGAACACATTTTGATGACTTGTCTAGGCCGAAAATTATAACAATTCCTACTATAATTTCACTAATTACATGCAGTATTTATGAATAATTTCAGTTGTCAAACCACCATATTTTCGCTCATGTCATATTAAAAAATATATACAAATCTAGAATTATTCCTCATAGAAAATAAAAAGAAAACCATAATTTGACCAAACAGAACAAAGTATAAAATTCAAAAAAAAATATCCTCGGTGGGGTTTGAACAACCTCTCATTCTGACTGAAATCTCTGTTTCCCACTAAAATGTGTATCTAATAGCTTAAAAAAAGATTTTATATAAAATGTAGATATAAAAAAATGGATCTCATATCGGGTGCGAACTGACACTTAGTCGAGCACACTTAGTCTATTCTAGCATGCATAGATTGACAACGCTTTAGTCCACTTGGCTATCGAGGACACAGTTGCATTGACAGTTACAAAACTATAAGATTTAAAAATATTCTGTTGAAAATGTTTATAAATCGCATACATTATCTTAAATTAGAACTTCAAGTATTGTTAAATAAAATATACATTTCATGACAGTTAAAGTATATTTAAATTTTCTTCATTAGTTCCATGAAATTTCAGTACTAAGTTTAACTCGTCATTTAAATCAATTTTTATGGGTCAGGTAAAACGGGTTTTCCAATATGCTCTTTATAGATGCTGGACAACACAATACATACTTGGATGTAAGATGGAGCTTGGTAAATGCTTAATTACAAGATTTGTGTTCATGAGAACGACTCTCATCTAGTTTACCGTTCAAGATCTTAGTTTAGAAGTGTCATGGACGTGTGATGCTTGCAACGTGGTGCGCATAACAGACTGGATAGAACAGCGCAAAACCTCATATCATTTCTAACGTGACAACAAAACAGTTACTGTAGACGCAAGCGACAGTGATCACATTCTCCATTGACCTTCTGTTGGACCTGTGTTCTCACTCTCTAAGATAAAAACTTTACGATATTTTTATCCGCTACAGAGCTCGTCGCTAAAATTGTGACTAGCAGTCAGGCTGTTCCATGGCTGGTGTCACTAGTTACGACCTCGACCTTTCTGTAGCTCACTTAAAAATTTTCTGTAAGATTTTATGTGAAGACAAGGAAACTTGGTTCGTAAGATTTCACTTACATATGCAAGAAATCAACTGTGCGTAAGAATTCTTATGATTGTGAACAATGTCTGCTGTAGTTTTATCAAATGATATCTTCAAAGAAATCATGCCTGAGACGGGATGTCGCAAGAAATGGGGGTCTACTGAGTGGTTGCGTTACTTCTAAAGATTTCATAAACATCCAAATCCATCCTGACATTTCATAATGTCTTTAAACAAATCCTTTTTTTCAGTCAATGTCAAAGCCGTAACAGAAGTGCAATGTTTCCATAAGGTATAATAATTTTGATAATTATTCTTGATTCCTCTCTCACCATCTTCATCAACTAATGTCTTAATTCTTTCTGATACGGATGTGATGAGATGATTTAAAAGTTAACTAATTATTGCAAATCGTACCGACTCACTTACTAGTGCAGATAGAAATCAGAACTGCCAAAATTAAATGATTTAACTAACTTGAGTGTAAGTAATTTTCTTACGACGATTTAAAAGCAAACATCCTCAGTTTCAACGTATGAACACGAGCCTTTATAAATATTTGAATGGGACGTTACATTGTACATCACAAACAAAACTAGTTAAATGAATGAGTGAGATTTTAATAACTTAATAATTACTTGAGTATGAAAACACATACTATTGTTCTAAGAGAACAAAACATATCCTAAACAATACTGTCACTCAAAATGACGAATGCCTCCGAAAAGGTTTCTTTAGCAGTAAATTTAAGAATTGTATTATGAGAAGGAAAGATAATGAAAGAAACTAACTGCTTGATATTGTTCTTGGGAAATGAAGAGCTATTTATATTTATGGGACATCGGTCCTAGATGCAACACATCATCTTCATGTGGCAGACATTATGCCAAGATTTAACAAATGCACATACAATGTAACAGTTTGTAAACTATTGTGTACCTTCAGATGCTACTTGTTAGCATAAGTACTTTCAAACTATTAGATTGACCTTGACATTGAAGGTAGGAACATAGTAGTCGTATATACTACACGTCGTCTTGATGTGGTAGACATTTGTGCCAAATTATTTTAAAATTCTTCAATACATGACAAAGGACAAATCGGACACGAATGTGTACCTTTTAAACACTTCTTTAGAATATGAGAACATTCTTACTGAAAGAGTGACCTTGGAGGTAGGGACATTGTCTTGAACGCGACATGTCGTCTTTATGGGGTAGACATATATGGAACCGTTTTTAAAAATCAAGGGTTTTAAAAAAAATTGGCACAAATGTTAACAAAATAAGACGACATGTCTTGCGCAACACCAAGACCCCTAACTTAAAGGTAAAGGTCACACTTGGGGGTCAAAAACTAAAATAGTCTTTTACAGGGTATGATGCCAAGTCAGGCCCATGCAAATACAAAAGCGTTCAATGATCTCATGTGTCGCCTCATGATAGCCATAACTTGGCAAAAAATTTCAATCTAAAAATCTGTATAAAATGCAAAAGAACTTGAGCTACCGATTATTCCTGTAAAGTTTCATTGAAACTGCATAAGTGGTATAACAGGAGTAGTCTAGGAAAATTGTTTACTCTGACAGAAATTACTGAACCAGAAAAAACTGACGATATGCTCATCAAAACTTGGTACTAATTATTCCTGTAAAGTTTGGAAGAAATTGCATTAATAGTTTCTGAGGAGCAGCCCGGAGATGTTTGTAACGGATGAACATACAACAGCAGAGGCGGTAGATAGGTTCATAGATGTAATCGGCGAATTGCCTACATACCTTGATTGATGAGTGGAGACGAAATATCCTGTATATGATTTTTATTTGTCACATTTTGTGGCTTTGAAATAGTTAAATAGAAGTGATCCCTATCTGTCGCCACTATTCCGTGGAGGCGACGCAACGATGTCAGTGGTGAATTCCCCACGTACCTTAACTGATTAGTAGACACCAAATATACCCTGTAAGAGACCATATTCTGTATTGATTTTTAATTTGTCACATTTTGTAGCTTTGAAATAGTGAAAAAAATATACGCATGTATTTTTCATAACACATACACACGAGTTATTTCATTAAATTTCTTTAAACTGACATGTGTAGATCTAGCATTGATCAATATTCTGAACTGAAAGTCAAGATCCATACCTCAAACTTTTGAAATAGCACAATTTTGTGCTTCATGTCAACTTTACTTAGGCGGAGGACGTTGGTTACTCTATTACAAATTGTCGTATTTCCGATTGCAATGGCACACTAGTAGCATGAGATGTTGATGTATTATACGTTATTTAGTAGGAACAATCGCTTATTAACAATATTAATAATAAAAAAGTATACAGTATACATAAATTATAGTTCTGTAAATAAAGTATATGCATAACTCTACGATTTTGTTACATATGTCTGAAATTTGC